TCCACGGTCTACCCCAGTTACCACTACTGTGCATGCGTGTCAAGGACAGAAAGGCAGATGTGGCAGTGGAAGGTGTCAAAGTAGTTTGGAGAGAAAAACAACGTAAAGAACAAAAAAAAAAAAGATTAATCGATTATTAAATTAGTCATAGATTTTAGTAATCGATTAGTCGTCGATTAATGGTGGCAGCCCTATTTATATGCTAGAGCATTAGTCAATAATGTGTAAAAGTGCTTTAGAATAAAACTTTTATGAGCCGGGTTCTTTTCCTAATGTGTTAAATGTTATAAATTCCAGGTGGACTGGCCCTGTGTGGCCTTCAGAAAGATCCAGAAATCTGTGGCAGGTTTCAATAACCTGACACTGATCCTGTTTGTGGGTGGTGTTTTCAATAGGACCACTAGAAGGTGCCATTTGCCAGAGTTGGTGTCTTAAATTTTGTTTTTAATTCATTTTTAAGCGTTTTAAGTTGTTTTGATTTTTTTTGTTGTATTTTACTTTTCTTTTGAACATATTTTGGTTATAAAAAGGGGCAGATATAAGATTTTCTCTTCTGCTGCCCTTCATTTTATTTGACTTTATTTTTGATCGCATGTTTTTTGAAATTTGTTAAACTGTGTTACAAATGAAATGAATAAAGAACTACTACTACTACTTCCCTTTTGATTTCTGTTAAACAAAGAGCATCAGGTGCAACCTGAACCAGAACTACACCACATCAGGTCAGTAAAGCATCAGTTTAATAAACACAAACATCCTAAAATATCAAATGCACTCATCTGAATACATGTTTAGATAGAAAATTTGTGTTTAGTTTGTCATTTCTTTGTTGTAATAATTCTTCTTCGTCTATCACAACTGGGCCCCTGTCCAGGTGTTCATGTGATGTCAAATAAATCATGTGGAACATGTGTTTCTGTTTACTACAAAATACATTGTGATTTAAGCTTTGGTCCCTTTGTTGGCATGTTAAAGACTTCTGCAAGAGTATTTTATTTTAAATAAACAGTAACTGGATCTTTACACATTGAAGCCATTTCAAACCCCTCTCAAAATCTATTAATAAACAGGAATTGAATTCTGTATCTCTTTAACAAAAACAAAATGTCACGTTTAAAATGCCACTGGTCGACAGCACCGGTTTGTTCCACTGCACTTGAACGCCTCTTCACAGAAACACCATGTTCCTGGCCTCCTCTGAGTAAATGTCAGGTATCTCTCCAATGGAGGACGACTCCATCCGGACAGAGTTACACCCACGCAGCTCCGCCTCGTACTGGACGAGCTGTTTCCAGAAGCCGGGATTCGGCCTCGCTATGGGGCGACAGCTCTTTACCCACCCGTGGGCCTCCAGCAGCGTCACGCCGCTGTGCTTCATCAGGTAGGCCATACACAGGGCGGCGGAGCGGCTCACCCCGGCGTTACAGTGCACCAACACACGGCCTCCGCCCTCTGCTGTACTCCGTATTTTATCTGCCACCTCACCGAAGTGGTCTCTGAGGGGAGACAGAGGAGTGTCCGAGACCGGGAGGTGGATGTACTCCACCCCTGGAGGAGGAGGACAGCTGCTTCTGGTCTCAGTAACACTGATGATGCAGGTTATTCCATTAGCCGTCACCAGCGAGGAGTCATTAGCCGCTTTGTTGTTACTTAAATAAAGATGGTCAGTGATTCGGCACAGCCCTGAAAGACCTCCATAACTCGTATGATTCATAAATGCTCAGAAACTTACTAATACTTAAGATAAAACTTTGAGCGTTGCCACACTATGTTTACATTTTCCTTTAGCACTACGGCAGCTGAGGAAGGCCAAATTTATATAAGCGCACGATTATGTCGCCCCCTTCTGGACAGGGTTTCTATTGTCAGGTTCACTTCACAACAAAAGCAGCTGCTTTCTTCTGAGTTTCATCTTTATGTCCAAAACTAAAAACAGTCTATTCTTTATTCAGACCTACATTTAGCCTATGTTTACAATAAAATCCCTCATATAGGCAGGAAAACAGCTTTTTTCCTTTAATCTGAGGAGATCGCCTCAGTGCAGCAAACACCAACCTGTCACATTACTGGAAAAATAAATAAATCTAAGATTGAAGAAGCAGGACTTTTAACAACCCACAAAGAAGAGAGATGGTTTTATTGTTTGTTGTTCACATCTCCTTTCTGCATTAAATGGATAAAACACAAGATATTATTGAGACCCTCAGAAAGTCCTTGATGGACATCTACAACTTTGCAACCTCTGCAAACATAAACATCAGACTGTTTTACAGTTAATGAAATAAGTTTTGGTGTGGCAGTAGCTAAGACTCGTACACAGTACATGCCCTGAGCACCATCCCATTGTGAGAAATCTATTTTTAAAACTTTGCTTTTAAAGGCACAGTGTGTAGGATTTGTTGTTTTCAGCGACATCTAGTGGTTGAGTGGTTGAATCATCCTCCCTGGCCCTCCCCCCACCCC